ACTCCCAGCACTCTTTTTTTTTTTTTTTGATGCAGAACTCAACTTCTTGTTTTAAAAAGTAGCACCCGAAAAGTTGGATTCAGAAGAGATATATTCTTGAAAGTACACGAAATGAGTTTCTATGATTAGAAACCAAGTTCCTCATTTACTATGATAAAATTAGCATGGTTAGTATTTTATTCTTCTGAACAAAATATTTCATTGCTTAATATTGTGAACTCACATCTATGTGTTTCCTTTTAAAGTCACATAGAAAAAAAAGGCATTGTTCTTTATCAACAAAGTTCTAAATCACAAAACTTCAGTAAGATGATAGCTCTAAAAAAGATAGGTTCTTTTATTTCATACAACACCTCAAATGTCTAATACCTACAGTTAGACCTGATCTAAAAAGTATTTCTGCACTGAGGCTTTAGAGACAGGAGGCATATTTTTAAAGCCTATCCAAAAGCCTAGATAGGAACAAACTTAAAAGTGCAGAAAGATAAATGATGTGTTGCTCACTTCAAAGCATCGGGAACTTTCCTTTTGAAGTGGGAACAGTTGGCAGACACAACATTTCCATTGGCTTTTAACTTGGGCAGGAAAGAATGGCCCGTATCATAAATGTAGAGAATTATTTAACTGATGAAAGTAGAAATCATATCAAAACTATGTAATCTGCTCCAAACGTTCAAAAGCAGTTTCCTCCCTCCTCATTTAATTTCTTTGGTTTTTAAAAACATGGAAGCAACCCATTTGTTGCCTACAGAAAGAGTACATTTGTTGAGGAAGCCTCAACCAAGGCCAGGATAGTCACATAGTAACAGTTAGGTGAGAAAATCCAAAGTCTAGAAGAATCCTATTTCAGAGTAATTTCCTCCTCCCACCTCTAAGCAGAGTAATTTTCTTAAGTAGCACAAACCCAGTTACCTTTTCAGTGAGTATCAGGAGTTAAATCAACTCCTGCATGTCCCTCAGTTACCAGCCAAAATATTCTTTAGTTATGGCAATTTAGCCTGCCTTACATATGTAAGGGTCTCCCAGTGTTCCACAGAGTATAGTGTTGTCTAGGGGCTTTGTCTGAATAATTTTCAGAGGTGAACATTCAGGTTACAATGTTAACTGAACAAGTCATCCTTTCCTTTACAAGGGATAGAGCTTCAGAAAACTACTTGCTATTGATCAGTTCATTTTCTGGGTGGATCTGCTTCAGAAATAGTTAATGTGTCACTTAATTGCGCTGCTGTTGTTGCCAGTGTGTGTTAGTTAGCTGTTACTGTAACAAAGTATTTGAGATAACTTAAAAAGAGGGAAGGCTTTTTTTTTTTTTTTGGTTTTAGTCCATGGTTGGGTTGGCCACCTTGCTTTTGGGTCTGTGGTGAGGTAGCATACTCTGGTAGGCGCACATACTGGAGCAAATCTGTTTCCCTCATGGTGGTAGAGAAGCAAAGGGGATTCCATCCCAGAATCCCCTTTGAGGGTCCCACCCCCTGCCAAGAACCTAAAAGCCTCCCACTAGGACCCACCTCTTAAAGGCTTCCACCACCTTCCAGTAGTGCAAAGCTGATGGTCATGCATTTAAGATCCAAAGTATAGGACTAAGAGAGTGGCTCAAGTGGTAGAACACCTGCATAGGAAGGTTGAGGCCCTGTGTTTAATCCCCAGAACCACCAAAAATATATAAATAAATAAAAATCTACTGAATGGGCTTTATAGCAAAATGGAGAGGTTTAGAAAGAGAGTATTGAAGATAGATCAGTAGCTATCCAATCTGACAAATAGAATACAATATATTTTTTAAAAGATCCAAACTAAATCACTTTGGTTATTGTTGCTTTACTAGTTTCATTCTCAAAGGGTGACACTCCTGGCTGGGCGCCAGTGGCTCTCACCTGTAATCCTAGCTACTCAGAAGGCAGAGATCAGGAGGATCGCAGTTCAAAGCCAGCCTGAGCAAAAAAAATTACAAGACCTTATCTCAAAAAAACCCCAAAAAACAACAACAAAAACTATCACAGGAAAGGACCTGATGGAGTGGCTCAAATGGTAGAGCACCTAACTAGCAACTGAGTTTAAACCCCAGTACTGCACACACACACACACACACACACACACACAAATAGGGTGACTCTCTTGTGCAATGGTAGAATCATCTGCCCAGTTACAAGATAGTAGAAAGAGCAGAGGCCTGGGAGCTAGTCTTGTCCCTCTCCCTAACTTGCCCGGTCATCTTGGATTAGTCGCTTATCATCTTCTCAACCAAATCTGTTCATCCATCTCTGGGTCTTAGGAGACTATGTCTGTGGTAGGTTCAATAATGGCCTCTGAGAATATCAGGTCCTAGCCAGACATGGTGATACATGTCTACTTGGGACAGGGAGACAGAAGAATTGTGAGTTTGAGCCCAACTCCGGCAAAAGTGGTGGCAAGACCCCATCTCTAAAACAAAATAAAAATAAAAAGGCTGGTAGAGGGCTTGCCTGGTATATGAAAGGCCTTGGGCTCAACCCTAGAACTAAAGGGGGAAAAAGAAAGCTATCAGGTCCTAACCCTGGAACCTGTGACTATTACTTTATTTGGGAAAAAGTTCTTTGCAGATTTGATTAAGGATCTTTTTTAATTTTAATTTTTGATAGGACTAGGGTTTGAACTCAGGGCTTTGAGCTTGCAAAGCATACACTCTACCTTTTGAGCTACCTGAGTGCTGGGATTACAAATGTATTCCACCACACCTGGATAAATTAAGGATCTATAGATAGGAAGATTATCCTGAATTATCTGAGTGAATCTTTTAGTTGTTTTATTTTGGATTTTGTCCATACTAGGGTTTGAATTCAGGGCCTCATGCCTGCTCAGCAGGCGCTCTACCATACGAGCCATTCCACCAGCTTGGGTGAACCTTAAATGCAATTGTAAGTGTCCTGATAAGTACAAGCAGGGGGAGACCCAAGACAGACACTTACAGAAGGCAATGTGGAGATGGCACAGACGTGAATTTGAAGATGTTTGCCTTGAACACTGGAATGAGGCAGCCACAAACCAAGGAATTACAGCAGCCATTAGAATGGCAAGAAACATTCTCCCCTGGAGCTTCCACAGGGATTGTGGCCTTGGTGACACCTTGATTTGGACTCACTGATACTGATTTTAGACTTTGGAACCTCCAGAACTGTGAAAGAGGCCTGAAAATTGCAAAAGATGGAAAGAGTCCATTCTTTATTTTTTTGGTGGGACTGGGGTTTGAACTCAGGGCTTTATGCTTACAAAGCAGGTGCTCTACCGCTTGAGCCTCATCTCTAGGCCATTTTGCTCTGGTTATTTTGGAGATGGGGTCTTTCAGACTATTTTCCAGGGCTGCCCCAAACTGCCATTCTCCTTATCTCAGCTTCTGGATTATAGGCATGAGCCATGGGTGCCCAGTGAGTCAATTCTTATGAATTGTAGTAATGTTCTATAAAGCTGCCAAGAACAGTGAATGAGTGAATATCAAACATTACTCTCAGAGGGAATACAGGGTTAGGTTCCTGCCAGCCTCTGTGACAATATTTTCATCCACTGATCAATGTACACCCTGTTTTATGTGTGCTTTTTTTTTTTGGGTGCTGGGTTTTGAACACAGGGCCTCACACTTGCTAGGCAGGCCCTCTGCCACTACAGCCACACTCTTAAGCCCTTCTTTTTGCTTTAGTTATTTTTCAGGTAGGGTCTTGTGTTTTTGGCCAGGGCCAGCCTCAGACAAAGCTCCTCCTACCTACTGCCTCCCATCATGTCTCTGGGATCACAGATGTGACTACACCTGGTTTATTGATTGAGATGCAATCTCACTAACTTTTGTCTGGGCTGGCCTTGAACCATGATCCTTCAGATCTCTGCCTCCGGAGTAGCTGGGATTATAGGTGTGGCTCCATGTATGCTTCTTTCTCAAGACACTTTATTTAATATATACTGTTGATCCTTTAACATTGAATTCACAGCCATCAACACTGTATCTCATGCTTGAGGGAACCTGACCTAAATCATATATTCTGTCTGTAAGACACATCACACAGCCTTCCTGTACTCAGAAACAATAGACAACACTTCAACTCTAGGCTTGGGGCCGTTTTGAACAGTAAAATCACCAACAGAAAGCTCAAAAATGTGAAAACATGGCTCTGGGTAGACCATGAAAAGGATACTTGTTTATAGTATGAGGGTTGAAACAAGATGGCAGAGCATCCCTTGACTAACCTCAGCTGGGACGTGTATGTGGTGACAATTCAAATTTTTGGTCCCTCTGTGTGTATCTGAAAACAACAGAGAACACCGCACATATTCATCTGGATGTTACAAATAAATTTTAGTTAGTAGGCAACTTCTTAAGATATAAAATCCATGAATTACACCTTCCTTTGACATTTTCAGTACTCCAGATCCCCTCCATATCTGGGAGATGGGAGCATGTGAGATTTATAGCAGCTACAGAAAATGAAGAATCTGGTTGTGCCAACCAGATTCTAATTCTAATATTCAGGAGGTAGAGAGGCAGAAGGATAGCAAGTGTGAGGCCAGCCTGGGCTGAATAGAGACCCTATCTCAAAAAAAAAAGAAACTAAATTTTTTTTTTGCTTATCCAAAGCATAGTAATTTTTTTTTTGGTGGCACTGGGGTTTGAACTCAGGGCCTGACACTCAGTAGGTAGGTGCTCTATTGCTTGAGCCACACCTCCAGCCTTTTTCTGAATTGGGTATTTTTGAGATAGGGTTTCACAAACTATTTGCCTAGCCTGGTTTTGAATTGTGATCCTCCTGATCTCTGCCTCCTGAGTAGCTGGGATTATAAGCAGGAGCTGAGGGTGCCTGGCTAGTAATTAATTCTTTGACTCTATATTACTATTATTTAAAAAATCATCATTTTTGTGTTTCATTATGCTGTGTATTGTCAGCAGCTAGAATAGTGACTCACATATAGTAGCTGCTCAACCACTTGGAATTTGTTAAATGAATCGAGGAATGAAAATCACATCCAATCCAATACACTGTTATATCTTTGGGCAACGATAGTTACAACTCTGCAATTGTTATAATTTAATGTATGTGAAGGAATGAAAAAAAATCCCTTGATTTTCTAGGTCTTTGGGAAGGTCTGAGGTCAGAATTCGGTGAGAGGATTTTCCTAAATGAACTAAGGACAGATGGTGGTGAGCCAACTCCTGCCTGACTGGTACCTTCTGGCAGGAAAGGAGGAGAGAAAGCAGGAGAAGCTGGATGAGATTTTGGATGTGCACAGGGGAAGAAGTTGATTTCTTCTGGGAAGTGAAGAAACTTCCCAGGGGAAGTTATGTGATAATTGACATCTCTTCTCGGTCTCTGCTCTCAGACACAGAATTGATGACACTTTTTAAATACTTTATGAATTCCATCCGGATCTCTTCAGGGTCCTCCTCAAGGTTCGAGTGCACCAGCTTCAGCTTGTTCAGGGGTGGTGCTTAAAAGAGAAATGAGGTTAATTAGGCAAGAAGTTTGAACTTGGAGCCCTGTCTAGCTCCCAGTGATCTGGGACTTCTAGAAGCCAATTCATTTAGCTTTTTTTTTTTTTTTTTTTGGTGGCACTCGGGTTTGAACTCAGGGCCTCACACTTGCTAGGCAGGTGCTCTACCACTTGAGCCACTCCACCAGCCCTTTTTTTTGTGATATTTTTTTCAAGATTGGGTCTTGGGAACTATTTGCCCAGGGCTACCTTTGAACTGCAATCCTCCTGATCTTTGCCTCCTGAGTAAATAGGTCGTTTAACTTTCTAAAGTCCAAAAATAAGTTGTGTCCTGCTTGACACAACAAAGAAGGATTTCATGACACTGCTACCTGGAAATAGGATAAAAATGACATCAACAGTTCCCAGATACTCCTTGCTTTTGTTTTGTTTCTGCAGTGCTCACAATGGAGCCCATAGGCCTCACACATGCTAGGCAAGAGCTGTACCACTGAGCACATCCTAGCCCTTTCTCTTTGTACTCAGAAGGAGACTCTCAGGGCCTTGTCACAAGCACCAGAAGAGACTCTTTTGTATTCTAATTTTATCTCTTAAGTATTTTCTGAGTTGTTTTCTAGGGTCACTTATCACATCTGTTATGTGTATGTCATGTGGGAATGGGAGGCTTTTCTTGGGAAAAAGCCTGATGGGAAAGGATGTCTCCATAGGACCCGTGAATGGCTACAAACAAGTTCCTCCCTGTTTTACTATCTGCCTGCTTTTAGTATCCATTTCCTTGCCTGAAGGGGATGATGAATTTTCCACCCTGCAAACTCTCACTGACATGGTGACAACAACAAATGCTGAGACACAGCAGGTTCTCAGTTATTGCACATAGTTGCTTGTTTCAAAAACATATAAAAATATGTAAGTGTAAGCTGGGTGTGGTAGTGGATGCATATAATCCTAGCATTTCAGAAGCTGAGACAGGAGGATCATGAGTTTGAGGCCAACCTGGGCCACACAGCAATACTCTATCTCAAAACTAAAACCAAAACCAAAACAAAGAAAACAAAACAAATATGTAAGTGTCCTGCCCAAAATAATGGAGAAGAAAGGAGGAAGAAAAATTCCATGGGCTGGGCTGGTGGAGTGGCTCAAGCAGTGAGAGCACCTGGCTAGCAAGCCTGAGGCCTGAGTTCAAAACCCGCCCCACCAAAAAAAAAAAAAAAGAGAGAGAAATCCCAGTGTCCTTACACAGAGCCAAGCTTCCTGTGTCACCTCCAGAGCCTGGTTTGTGATGTGCAATTAGCAGGCACTGAGCATCCTGTAAGAACTGCTGCTGGACAAAGCAGGAATACCACATTTCGATCTCCTTCAGGTGGCTTGGGATGTCAGCATTGAAGACAATCACTACTCCATGAGCGTCCTTCATCAGGGCTGGCCAGCAGGACTCGAACCTGTGACATAGAGAGGGGATCAGAGTGAGGGTTATGTCATCCTGGCTTCTGTTTTAGTTTTTTTTTGTAATGCTAGGAAACAAACCCAGGGCCTTGTACATACCAGGCAAGTGTCCTACCACTGAGCTACATCCCTAGCCGTAACTAGGTACTTTAAAAAAAACTTCTTAGTAATTTTTGTTCTTTTCTCTCTCTCTCTCTTTTTTTTTTTTTTTTTTTTGGTGGTACTGGGGTTTGAACTCAGGGTGTTCTGTTTGCTAGGCAGGTGCTCTACCACTTGAGCCATGCCCTAGCTGTATACATTTTATTAATAATTGATCTCAGGGTGTTCTGTTTGCTAGGCAGGTGCTCTACCACTTGAGCCATGCCCTAGCTGTATACATCTTATTAATAATTGATGACTTCTAATTGTATCATAATGCAATCACTAAAGTTTATAAAGCAATAAATGTCACCAAGGAATACACCAATCCCCTCAGATAGGTGGGCCTAATAGGCAGATTTGTTTTCCCAGTGTGGGGATTGAACCCAGGACCTAATCCATGCTAGGCAAGTGCTCTACCACTGAGCTACACCCCCAGTCCTGATGTTTTAATCATCTGATGAAGCAAAGCTGCTGCTTTTTTTTTTTTCAGTAATGAGGTTTGAACTCAGAACCTTACACTAGCTATGCAGGCACTCTATCACCTGAACCACATCCCCAGCCCTCTTTTTTTTTTTTTCCTGGTACTAGGGATTGAACCCAGAGCCTTGTGCTTGCTAAGCAAGCACTCTACCACTTGAGCCATGCCCCAGTCCAGCTTCGGAGGAAAAACATACTTTGAGTCGCCACCACAGTCCCAAAGCTCGAATTCACACCCTGTGCCTTTGCTGTTACTGGTAACATGTGGGTTCTCAAATTCCAGGATCCTAAAAATAAAACACAGCAACAGCAGCAGCAATCTCTACTTAGGAAACACTGTACTTTTGGGATGCCAGCAGCACCAAAAGTAGGAGGTGGGTGACCACTAGTGACTTTGGAATGTAGATTGGGCAGCCTTACCTCACTCCTTGGGTTGGGTTATATTCAGTAATGTCCGAAGATTCAGTTAGAAAGTTGGCCAAAACAGTTTTTCCACTCTGTGAAAATGACAGAGAATAAAGGTCCTTGATGAAGCACAGAAAAATAAACCACAAAAGAGCCTCCACCCCATAGCTGGCCTGGAACTTGCTGTGACAGAGTACAGGCCATGTATGGCCTCTTTGAGATCTCCAGGACAGAGGACCCTCTCTGGCTGGGATTACTTTGTCTGGCTCTGCTATGGTGGGCATAGACTGGTGTGGCACCCAGGGAGCATAGCAGTCCCTTTGCCCACAGTGATTTCTTTGGCTGGCTTTCAGTTAACTAATCAGAGAACAGAAAAAAAAAATCCTGTGTGTTTCTCCCCTTGTCTGCTTCTCTCCACATGTGTAGGAAGCCAATCTGTTATAGATACAAAACCACTGAGGCTCAGAGAAGGGAAATGAGTTACTTGAGGTCACCAAAGGGATCAAGGTCAGAGATCAGTCCCAGGTTCTAGGGACTCCTGGCTGGCTGTGCCACAATTTCACCGATGGCTACTTCTCCTTATGTATCACAAAAGTAACACAGAATCCTATCAACAGAACAAGAAGTCAGCCTTCCTGATCCCTCCACCAAACCCCTCTCTCCATTTGTCCCATTTCCTCCTTGAAGCTATGATCTCCTTTTCGGATCTTTCCTATATATTTGCATTGTTCTTGAACAAATACTGTATATGCCTGAATATAAAACAAAGCTGTTTACTCCTCCTTCCCCCCACAATTATTCCTCAGAAGAGAGGCAATCTCTTACATGTAAGCCCTTATAAAACTCTATGAGCAGGGTTCCAATGGCTCATGCCTGTAATCCCAGCTGCTTGGGAAGCTGAGATTGGGAGGACTGATGTTCGAAGCCAGCCCGGGAAAATAGTTGGAGAGACCCCACCTCCAAAATAACCAGAGCAAAATTGACTGAAGTTGTGGTTCAAGTGGTAGGGAGTCTGCAGCTTGAGCAAATAAAACTGGGTCATGAAGGGATAGAATGAAATAGCATTTCCAAATTAATATGTCATAATGGGCCTTTAAATATATGCCAACACATTAATACATAGAACTACAGTTAATTGTTAATAGAAGTATATTAGTATATTTTGTCTATGCCCTTAAAGTTTTTTGTTTGTTTGTTCTTTTTTTGGTGGGATGGAGGTTTGAATTTAGGGCTTTGCCCTTGCAGAGCAGGCACACCTCCAGTCTGTTTTGCTCTGGTGAGCCACCAGTGCCTGGCCTGTTTGTTTTTGAGACAAGGTCTCTCTATGCAGCCCAAGGCTGGGCTTGCACTTGCCATCATCCTGCCTCAGCCTCCCTAGTGCTGGGATTACAAGTATGCACCACCAAGCCTGGCTTTGTATTTTGCTAATACTTTCCCCAGGCTTTAACACCGCTGTCATTTCTTCTAAGCCTTCCTCATTTTTGTGCTTTGCTTAAGAAGACCTTCCCTAACTCAGGATTAAAAACACATCTATCTATATATATTCACCTATGAAACTACAGCAATTCTCCATGTGTGGTTTGTGAACCAACACATCATCATCACCCTGAACCAATAGCATCGGCAAAATCCAAACTCGGAGATCATTCCCAGACCTATTGAATCAAAACTCTGGGGTGGGATGCAGCGATCTGCTTTTAAACAAGCCCCCCAAGTAATTCCAATGCGCCCTGAAGTTGGAGAATATTCATCTACCCTTCCATAGTGTTTTTTAAAAACACCTTTAGCTTTAAGCCATCTGAATGTTATTTTTGTATATGGTGTGAAGTACACATGTAGTAATCACCATTACCACTGCCACACACACATTAATACCACTTATAATAGTCGATTCCAAGACTATATAATAGTCCATTCCCTCTTGGTTCTCTCGTCCTAAAGACACATTCATTAAAGATGACCTGGGGTGGCGGGGAGGAGAGACAAAGGGGAGTCACGCGACCCAGGATTTGCTTTCAAGGATGCACTCACTACTTCGTCCTCTGTAATACGGGGTTGCCTGGTAAGGCCAGAGGCGCCCGTCGGGCGGGGACGTTGGGACTGAGCTGTCACCTCCTGCCGGTGGTCGCCCCCCGCGCTCGCCCGGGCCCTGCGGCCCCGCTCGCCGTTCCCGCCGCCGTGGCGAGCCTGGCCTCACCTCGCAGGGCCCCACGAACAGGATCTTGGCCTTCAGCATCGCGGCCGGATGCCCGGAGCTCACCGAAGCACCAGCGGCTTGGAATCCCACGCGTTGTCAAGGCGAGCTTGAGGCACTGTGCTGATTGGCTGTCTTCGTTTCCACGGCGACCCGGAGCGGCGCGCGAAGGCCGACGGGACTCGGCCACTTCCGGGAGAGGACGGAGGGAAGAGGGCGTGCCAGGGTTGCCGGACGCTGTTGACGCTGTTCTGAGCGCCCAAGGCTCAGAGCTGCGGAAAGTGGTGGAAAAACCGGTCCCTAATCTTTATTCTTCCCAGAAAAATAAGCACTCCAGACAGGGCCATGTGCAGACTGGGAACCAGGGCTCTGACTCCGTCACTGTGGCATTCTACCACTATTGCCATAGAGTTTATCACAGTCCTGACCCAGCGGGCAGCAGAGTCTCGGGGCTTTGTTATGGGCGTCACCACTCACCATCACTGGAATGATCTGGGAGAAACCAAAAGGGCTATGTTGTCAGTGGGAACACTGCTGCTAAATTCAGTCATTACCTGGGCCTTATATGATGGAGGGAGGGCATATTAGTGGTTTCGTAAAAGTGCCTAGATAGGATCATGCACTTGCTTTCTTTTGGTGCGATCTCTGGTTTTCTTTTGCTTTTTTGTTTGGTGCCCTTGCCCCGCCCTGACCCTGAAGTTTCTGTATCGGTGAAGAGACAGACAAGTACAAGAGTTTAGGTTGGGGTGAATCCTTCAGTATTTTTATCCATATATCTTTTTACATTTCCATTCTACACACCTGTGTATGTAGATCTACAAATAGATCTGGAACAGGTTGTTAAAACATTTCGCTGAGGCTTTAAAGGCAGACAATAGGTATTAAGTGTCTGTAGATTCTGATCTACCTCTGCAAGAATTTAGCATATCCCCTGGAAGTTATCAAAGAGTTATGAGGTTGTAGAGGAGGAAAGGAAGAATTTCTTTGGAGAGAATGCTATTTTCTTACCTCAAGTCAAGTGAGAGATGGGGCTTCAGAGAACTGGTGTCCCCTGAAATTTAAGCAGCATGGAGATGGGTGTGAAAATCTGTAGGGTGATCTGGTCCAAAGTGAGAAGGTAGGGAAAGAAAGAGAATGCACTGGGAGTTGCCAAGGATACAGGAGATGTTCCCAGGGAGGAGGGAGGGACTTGGTCATTTTGGATTTGCCTGTGAGAACCCCTTGGAGAGAGTAGATTCCTAGAGAAGGTGCCCAGGCTGGAGATAAGGTGTTTTGAGGAAGCAGCGCTTAGAGCCCTCTTCATGTTATCTCCCAGGAACTCCCATAGATGATATAAAAATCCACATGGGGAAATCTGATACTTCCAAGGGGCACCTACACTCCACACTCTACTGTCTCTGTCCTGTTAAATAAGACCTTTTCTACTCCTCTCGTTCTTCCAGCTCTCCCCCTATAAGCCAGATCTGGAATGGTCCAAAGAAGCCCAGCGCAAGAGATTTAGGGGAACAGGATTCGAGAACAAGACTAGCAAAGAGGGAGGAGGGTGGTTGAGTCTATTTCCCTTGCAATCTCACAGGCCTGAGTCCAGCTTGGAGATGGGGTGAGAGGTTAATGATACTTTACCTTTAAATTAAGTGCAGAGTTTTGATTAATACAGTGTCAATTAAAAGAGATGGTTCTTGGAGATGAAAGTAATTTGGGGACTTACTCTTACCAAAGATTGACCAAAAAGTTATGGGAAATGCCCAAGGGATGGGAAAGAGTCTATAGAGAGGGTTTGAAGGAAACAGCCAGGAGAAAGATTAAACTTGTGAATAAGTAAGTCTAACAGGATCTGATGGGAATTTTGATATATGAGTGGCTCCTGGAAGTCCCTGAGGGGGTTACCTGGGCTCATACTACTGGAGTGGACACTGGACTACAAAGAAGTCCTTGATGTAACTATCCAACTCCAATGGGCAGGACTGTCTGTACTATCTCTTCTTAGAGAGCTTATGCTGTTGTCCTGTTGATCTGCCAGGGAAGATCCATAAACCTCCATCCTTGCTGTAAACACCACCAGCTCTGTGCCACTGGTCCATAGCTGGGTGTGGTGGTGCATGCCTGTAATCCCGGATACTCAGCAGGCAGAGGCAGGAGGATCCTGAGTTCCAGGCAAGCCTGGGCAAAGTTAGGGAGATCCTAGTCTAAAACAAAATACAAACGAAAAGACTGGGGCTATAGCTCAAGTGGTACAGCCCTTCCTGGTATGTGCAAAGCCCAGGGTTCAATCCCCAGCAGGGGATAGGGGCACAAATATACATGGGGCCTGTTATGTACAAAGAAAAACCATCTTGAGGATGGATCCGAAGGTGGACCAGGCCACACTGTGGGCCCCAGATACCATCATGGTGGGGGTGAATAAGCATCTCATCCAGATCCAGGGCTATATACTCTTCCCCTGGGCCAGCGGATTCCTGGGCACAGGAGATAAAGGAAAGACATTATATCCAACAGTTTGGAACTGAATTACAGTGCTGGTCTGCATCTGCAAAAGGTAAACCAAGAAGCTCCAGAGCTTGGCAGTGAAGGCCCCCAATGTGCGCCCGCACACGCACATTAAGTGCAAGGACCCCTGTACTATGTTCCCCTGAACCCCAGCGGCCCAGCTCCTCCACGCAGCGGACAGGCACGGGCAGCCTGCGGGGCCCACGTGGGTGGGAAGTGGCACCACCCACAAGGCCAAGACAGGTCTCAGGCTAGGACTGGTCCTCAGAGACCATGAGGGAAGAGGACGAAGAATTGAGGAAGGGGAAAGTAGGGGAGGAGGTCAAAAGGAAAGGGAGGAGGGGAAGGAGCACATAATTTTTAAGTTATTCCTTTTAAATTAATTTTGACACAAGGTCTCCTGTGGAGCCTAGGTTGGCCTCCAACCCATGATCCTCCTGCTTTGGCCTCCTCAGTGTTGGAATTACAGGTATGTGTTACCATGTCGTGCTTTTAAAATGGTTGTGTGTGTGTTGCTGGGGATTGAACCCAGGTCCTCAATGACTGCTAGACAAGCACTCAACCACTGAGACTTACTTCCAGTCCAACTTTTTTTTTTGTGGTACTGGGGCTTGAACTCAGGACCTTCACCTTGAGCCACTCCACCAGCCCTTTTTGTGATGGCTTTTTTTGAGATAGGGTCTTGAAAACTATTTGCCCCAGGCTGGCTTCGAACCATGATCCTCCAGATCTCTGCCTCCTGAGTAGCTAGGATTACAGGTGTCAGCCACTAGCACCCAGCTCAACTTTTTTTTTTTCTTATGAATGGAAGGAATAAACTCTAATAAGCAAGTCTAGAATAGTAAATGCATAAACCAGTAACACATCATGTACTGTCACTATCACACGTTATGCACTGTACATAAAGTTACGGGTTGTATTTTATGCATGATTGGCAGAGCAGTAGGTTTTTTTACACCAGCATCACCACGCACGTGCAAGTAAAGTTGCACATGCAAGTAAAGTTGCACTAGGCAGTAGGGCTTGTTCGGTTCTGTCATAACCTTGTGGGACCACTGTCAAAAACGCAGTCCTTCATCAGTGCATGATATATACACACATGGATGCATATGTATATATGTCACATACATGTGCACAGGTATGCACACACACACTGGATCATGATTTCCTATTTTATACCCTGGTTTATAATCTCACCATTATTGTTTACTTTATTGTCCTCAATTTGGCCATTGGAAGTCCTTTCAAGCTTGTTTCTTCTTTTTATTATTATTCTTGTTGTACTGGGAGTACATTACAGCATTTACCAAAGTTCTTACAATGTATCATAGTTGAGTTCACCCCTCCATCATTTCATCATTCTTCTATTCCATTCCTGGGATAGTTTCAACGGGTCTCATTATTTCATTTATATTTATAAGAACGTAATATTTCCACCATATTTCACCTTCCTATACCTTTCCTTCTATCCTCTCCCCTCCCACTGTTGCCAGCCTGCAGACAGGACTGGTTTTACCTTTCTGTTCTCCATTTTTGAAAAAAGACATTTTTGTTTGTATAAGATAGCTATACAGGGAGTTTCATTGTGACATTTCCACGTATATATGTATTATAACCCGAACTGGTTCATCTCCTCTATTTTTCTCCTTTTTATCTTAGTCCCCTTCTTATGGTGATTTCAACAGGTTTAAAAATTATATATTTATTCTTGTATAGGAAGTACATCAACCATATTCACCTTTTTAACTTCCTTCTTTTACTCTCCCTCTCTCGTATGTGACCTCCCATAGTGTGACCTGTTTTTCTTGTATTTGTATTGGGTCTGTATTCCACATATGAAAGAAAAACCTGCGGCCTTTGGCTAACTTCACTTATAATGATGTTCTCCAGCTCCATCCATTTACCTGCAAATGACAAAATTTCTTTCTTCTTTATGGCTGAATAAAATTCTGTTGTATATATATACCACATTTTCTTAGTCCATTCATTAGTGGTGGGGCATCTTGGCTGTTTCTGTAGCTCAAATATCGTGAATAATGCTGCAATAAACACAGGTGTGCAGGTGTCTTTATTGTAACCAGACTTACATTTCTTCAGATATATCCCTAGGAATGGAATTGCTGGATCATATGGCAGTTATATTTTGTTTTTTGAAGAGCCGCCATACTGTTTTCTGTAGTGTTTGTACTAATTTACATTGCTACCAACAGTGTATAAGAGTCAACTTAGTGTCTATGTCCTGTTGAAATTCCTGTCCTCCTGTGAGTCTTCTTTACTTTCTGGCACCATTATATAGTCCTAGGTGGTTATTCTTATTACTGTTGCTTCATAGTCACCATATATTGTACACATTCTTTTGGATGCATCAAAAAGTTAAAAGTTGCTAAGGACTTCAAAAAGTTGTTCATTTGCATACCTGGAAACAATTGTAGGTTTTTTTGTCCTCCTATCCCCACTTTTGGCATGACACACACTTAAGTCTCTGGCCTGGGCTTTGGGAGAACTTGATTCCAGGCACTGGGTTCCAGAGATGGCTCTGCTGGGTCCCTGCCCCCGGTGCTTCCAGTCCAAATGGGAGACCAAACTGTAGAGTGCCTTCCCCTTGGAAAGAGCTCATTTTC